ACTCCTTGAACTTCTTAAGCCTAGGAGGTGAGTTTCTAACATATCTGACCACCTCTCTAACCTTCTTGACAGATTTCAGACCATCTTGGACTACCAAGTTCAAGATATGGGCAATGCATCTCATGTGAATATAATTTGCCCTCACAGTAGATGTTCCCCAAGACACAAATTTTTTCTTTAGAAATCCCATAGTAGTGTCATTTGATGAGGCATTATCAATAGTCACACTAAAAACATTCCTAAACCCCCACTCTAGCAAACAAGTTTCTAGGTCTTTGGCTAGATATTCACCTTTATGAGAGGTAACAGGGACAAATGCTATGATTTTTTTTATGGAGCTTACAGTCAGAATCAATGAAATGGGTAGTAACTACCATGTAGTTATCCTTTGGATGAATGTCTATGAGTCAGTTGTGATACTAACATATGATTGCTTCCCCTTAAAGATGCCTTTAATTTCAGTCCCTCCACAAATCTAAAGGTCAATTCATCTATGATTATCATTTCAACCAAGGCCCTCTTAATTGACTCTTGATTAAATATCCAGCTCCCTATTTTCCCCACAGTAGGTTGAGCAGAATCAGAAGATTTAACAACTTGGAATGTTAAAAGGGATTGCCTAGTATCCTTGGAGTGAGGATTTTTCATATAACTCAACATGTAGTTTCTTAAGGAAGATATACCATGTTTTTTTTTACTCACACTGATATACTTTTGCACAATAAATACACCTTCCTTTTACAATAACACCATTACTGTAATTTTTTCTCTCAAAATGATCCCATACTCTGGATCTTGCATCAACTTGCTTTCTCTTCTTATCAGGAACTGTAGGAGGTTGCTCATTCTGTTGATTATTTTGCTCAACAGTTTGGGCTTCCATCCTTGAAGGTCCCTAATGTAAAGAGTTGGGAGGTTGACTACCAGGCATACTAATATTATCCATCTAAAAATGGTTAACTATCAGTACACATAGTAGGATTCATATTCAAGAATAATAGACAGTCTCACAAACTCACAGAGTCACAGTCAGCCATACAATTACAATTTACAGAGAAGCACTGGGTATGAAAGCAGAAAGCATTCTAGAATCAGACACATTTTGTGTCATCATTTTCAAAGAATACATAATTATTTATTTATTTATTTTATTTTGTGTCACCATTTTCAATACCATTAAGGGCATACATCCATAAACATGACATTTTTAAAGAAATCCAGATTCAGGGTTTTAATTTCCCTTTTCAAAGAGGCAGGGATTGTTATAATTATTATACAGCTCATGGCCTCATGTTCATCAGGCATCATTATCTGGATTTCAAACTTAGAGACTTCCACCGTATCAATATATCACAAATTCTCAGAAACTCAGACTCAGAGTATGAAAAAAACATTTCATAAACTAACAGTATAATACTAGGGTTTTAAAACAGTCAATAAGTCAGTGTTTCCACCAGATTTTCACATAACATATCATAAATTCTCAGAATATGAGAAAAACATCTCAAAAACTGATAATATCAAACTAGGGTTTGCAATAAATAGTCAATAAGTCAGTGCTTCCACCAGATTTTCACATAACATACATAAATTCTCACAATATGAGAAAAACATTTCAAAAACTGACAGTGTCAAACTAGTAAACAATTAATAAGTCTGTGTTTCCACCAGATATTCACATGACATATCACAAATTCGCATAATATCATAATAACTTTAGGAAATCAAATTTAAAAAACTAGGGTTAGATGATTTACTTCGTTTCTCATAGATACCCCGGAGAACAAGGGCTTCTTTGTACATATATCACCAGTCGATGTCGACGACAACACCACTACACCAGTCACCAGTACGGTTTCCACCAGACCTGAGAGGCTGAGACCAGACCACCGGAGTTTCGGACTACACAACGGGTGGTTGTGTGGATGTATGGAACTCACTAGTCACTACTCAGAAAAGACAAAGAACTAGAGATGTAGAGAGTAGAGAGAACTCAGAGTCTCTGAAATCATAATCTCAGAGAGTGAGAGACGGAGAGAGAGAGAGAGAGAGTAAAGAGTTAAGAGTTGAGAGAAATCATAATCGCAAAGGGAGAATGGGGAGAAATCAGAAACACTAGCTTCGACTATGCAAATCGCAAATGAGGAGAGATCTGAAGTCTTTAGTCTTATCAACACACACACACACACACACACACACACACACACACACACACACACACACACACACACACACACACATATATATATATATATATATATATATATATATATATATATATATATATAGAGAGAGAGAGAGAGAGAGAGAGAGAGAGAGAGAGACCAAACGACGCCGTATTGAACTAGCTATACATAACCCTATCTTAGATCAGATAATCGGACGGTTCGGATGATTCCCCCCTACCCGAAGCCATACACACAAACGTCATTTCAACGGTGGTTCGATTTTAGCAGATCAAGTTCAGATCGGAACGGGTTCGCTTGACCGAATTTCGAGTCGGTCGGGTTATGCACAGCTGTAATGTTACATGAACCTAGTGACCTAGTTGAAAATCCTAGACAATCATTAATAAAGGATTTTTTTTTTCCAAGAGAATGAGAGCTATAGTTCTTACATTCTGAAAAAAAAAAAAAAAAAAAAAAAAAAAAAAAAAAAAAAAAAAAAGCCCCCAACCCCCAATTGATCGTAAGGTACATAATCCCAAAAAACTTATAATATGATTAAACAATTCACAAATTTTCAATAAATAGAGATTAACTTTGATGCATATTACATGTCATATCATTGGGTAATTGTTTGGTAAAAATAATTTAGTTTGATTAACATGTTGTAAATTTTTTGAATGGTACTGAATCTATTATAATGTAGTATCTACTCATAACTATTTTCCCCAACCTATTGAAGAATAAAGAATAAAGCTTGAATCCATAACCTCCTATATAAGGAAGCAACTTGGTGCTAGTGGACCACAAAATTCTTGGCAACATTCTACAAATTAATCGAGAGGTTATTATTGTTATTGTCTATCTTGATTTGTCGTTCTAAGCAATTTTATCATGAAGTACAATCAAATATCTTGGTTTTTTAAATTTAAATATTTATTTACAATAATATTATTGAAACATATTGGATCTGCTTACTAATCGAAAAAATTATCTATTGTTTTAAAAAATGAAAAATAGAAAACATATTTATTCTTAAAATAGAAAACTAATAAAAAATTTATCTATTATTTTTTTCTTATATTTAATTTAAATATAAAAAACACACATAATTTTATTTATAAGTTACAATTTTTATTACCTACAAACTTCTGTTTCACCTAACACTTAGTCACTTACCTACTTGCCCACCCACCTAATCATTCTATTAATTTATTACTCCGTATGATATAAATATTCGCGAGTTTGTCGTACCTTCTCTAGGGTTTTGGTTTTCCGCCGTTTTTCTACTACTCCGGCCGTTCAACGGGCGGACATTTCTTCGAGCGTTGGTCATGGCTGCCGCTGAGATCGCGGATTTGTGTACGAATCTGACGTTAGCAGATGTCGATAATGAGGATAATACTATGCGAGTACCACAACCTACTATGGAGCATGCAGATGAGGATGATGGAATATACGTTGTTGGCCGGTTGGTGACTGAGAAACCAATCCGATTTGCCTTCTTTCAGGACACTATGGCTTCGGTGTGGAGGCCTGTCATGGGGGTGAATACACGAGAGATACTACCTCGACACTATCTTTTCCGTTTCTACCATGAGGGTGATGTAACTCGTATTCTTAACCAAGGACCTTGGACGTTCGAGCAATGTCTACTGAATATGAAGCGTGTACTGCCAGGGGAGGACCCTGAAACAATCCCCCTTACACATGCTGACTTGTGGGTACAAATCCATGCTCTTCCAGTTGGGTTTCGATCTGAGGCCATTGTCACTGCCACTGGATCTTTCTTGGGTACGTTAGTTCAGACTGATGAACGTAATTTTGATGGAGGGATGAGGTCCTTTTACTGGGTACGGGTACTGATAAATGCTGCCAAACCTCCTTTTACTGGGTACGGGTACTGATAGATGTTGCCAAACCTCTGAAGAAGCAGATGAAGCTTAAAAAGTAGAACGGCAGTTGGGCTTTTATTAACTTCAAGTACAAAAGACTCCCTACTTTCTGCTTTTTGTGTAGGTGATTGGCCATGGTGACAAGTATTGCCATAAAGCCTTGCATGGTTTGGATCCTAAAGCTGAAAAACCGTATGGTGCATGGTTGAGAGCTTGGTCGAGGAGGGGAACCCCGTCTAACGGGCAGCGCTGGATACCACTTGAAACTACAGCTCAGCGAAAGACTTGGACTTCCCCAGTCATGGACTCTGCTGCGGACGCTAATTCCAGTCGAGGGGAGGCTGAGGGGGCTGGTTCGGAACCGCATGTGGATAATGAACATGCTCCAAATCTAGTTATAGCTGAGCAGAAACGAGGGAGGGTGGATGATGCTTCTGTCATTCTCCTGGGCCAGTCTTCGGAGATGGACTATGAATCATCTGTGCCAAAAAACGGGGTGGAGGCGGGTCTTGCAGGGCAAGCCCGCGTAGAATTATAAGTCTCTTAAGCTGGAATTTTCGAGGGCTTGGCAACCCAACGGCAATTCGTGTCTTAGCGGATATTATCTGCACGAAGAGGCCAAAAGTGGTTTTTTTTTATTGAAACGTTCTTGGATAGTTAGCGGATGGAACCAATATGTGTACAGTTGGGTTTCCATAACATGTTTGTAGTGGATGCACATGGTCATAGTGGTGGTCTTGTTCTTCTGTGGCACGAGGCAGTTGAGGTTGAGGTTACGGGGTATTCATCCAACCACATTGATACAACTGTAATGCTAGACACGGGTAGCCCCAAGTGGAGGTTTACGGGTTTCTATGGGTACCCGAAACGAACGCGAAGAAGGGAATCATGGTAGTTTTTAAAAACACTCTCCAGTCTAAGTACTTTGCCGTGGGTTTGTATGGGGGATTATAATGACATTCTCCATCAGTCAGAGAAGATGAGGCGGAATCTACACCCGAATTGGTTAATAGCTGGGTTCAATGATGCAGTAGCAGATAGTGGCCTTATGGATTTTCCGTTTCAGGGCAATCAATATACCTGGGTGCGGTCTCGAGGGACCCCGGCCATGATCGAGGAAAAGCTGGATAGGGTGTTGACAACGGACTCATTGGTGGATCTTTTCAATGGTGCAACAACGTGTTCTTTAACCTGTCCTTACAGTGATCATTCACCATTGCTGCTTACGCCAGTGAGGGTTCCGAATGGGGTAAGGCGGCGCCACTTCTGTTTTGATAACCTATGGCTAAGAGAAGACCGGTGCAGGGAGATTATTGATAACAGCTGGGGCCGTACCATGGGCTTGGATGTTCTGGATCGTATAGCTATTTGTGGTCAGGATATTTGGAGATGGGGGGAACTTATAATAAAGAGTTCCATCTTAGTATCGAGGTCGGTAAGAAGCGCCTTGAGAGGCTCAGATTACGCCAGGATGACCTGGCTTTATGGAGTATAATCGGACTGAGAAGGAGTTGTTAACATTGTTAGAACAACAACACGTATACTGGAAGCAACATGCAAAGGAGCATTGGTATCGTGGCGGCGACTTGAATACAAAGTTTTTTCATAATTCTGTGAATACTAGGAAGCGCCGGAACCGAATTAAGCTCTTGCGGAAGGACAATGGGGCTGCTGTGGATACTGGGAATGGTATGCGGGGGAGGTGATGGTCGACTATTATACAGATTTGTTTACCTCCTCGTCTGGTGATATGGAAGAGGTATTAGAATGCATTACTTCACGTCTGGGCCAAGGGTCGAATGCTAAGCTGCTGAGAATGGTTAGTGCGGAGGAGGTGCGACGTGCCGTGTTTCAGATGCACCCCGATAAGTCCCCGAGACCGGATGGTCTTGGGCCTGGGTTTTTTCAACATTATTGGGATATTGTTAGCAGTGATGAATCATAGTTTTGTAGAAACTTCATCCAAACGGCCAAGTTGCCTGCAAAGGCTGATGACACTTATATCGTTTTGATCCCAAAGAAAGCTAGGCCGGATTACATGAAGGATTTGAGACCTATTGCGTTGTGTAACGTTCTATACAAAATTGCAGCAAAAAGTATGTGCGAATCGGTTGAAACTAGTGTTGGATGGGCTGATAAATGGGGCTCAAAGTGCCTTTATACCGAGGCGACTAATAACCGACAATATTATGGTGGCTTATGAAGCTCATCACTTTTTGAAACGGAAGTCCCAATGGAAAGAGGGTGTAGCGGCCCTAAAGATAGATATGAGTAAGGCTTATGACCGTGTCGAGTGGAAGTTCCTTCAAGGGGTGATGCTGAGAATGGGGTTTGATCAGAAGTGGGTTGACATTATGACTAAAACGGTGTGTTCGGTGAAATACCATGTCCTGCACGAACAATGTCACTTTGGGCCGATCATCCCAGGTCGCGGCCTAAGACAAGGTGACTCGTTATCTCCTTACATTTTCCTTTTTATTGCGGAAGGATTAAGTGCTTTCATTGAAAGGCATATTGATAGGAAAACATTGCATGGAGTGTATGTCGCGCGTGGGGCACCACCTCTGTCACATCTGATGTTTGCGGATGATTGTTTTTTGTTTTTTTGTGCTAACTCTGCAGAGAGTGCCACGATGAAGCGAGTTTTGGATGTCTATGCTACTGCTTCAGGTCAGCTAATAAACTACAAAAAATCTATGATTTGTTTTAGTACAAATACTCAGCACTGTGTCCGTGGTGAAGTGGCTACCCTGTTGGGGGTGAGGGAAGGGGATACTTCTGGGAAATACTTGGGACTCCCATCTCTAGTAGGGAGAAAGAAAACTAAAATACTTAGGCTTCTTGAAGGGTACGGTGTTGAATAAGATAAGAAGTTTGAAGACCAGGTTTCTGTCTAGAGCGGGGAGAGAGGTTCTTTTAAAAAACGTTATTCAAGCTATGCCCTCTTATGCTATGATGGTGTTCTTGCTACCTTTAGGTCTGTGCAAAGAGATAGAAACTCTGATGAATGAGTATTGGTGGACTGGAAGTATCGGTAATGGCAAGGGGATCCGGTGGAGAAGCTGGGAGGGTATTTGTATCCCTAAAACGCGTGGTGGCATGGGTTTTCGTTGGATCCATGAGATGAACTTGGCCCTACTTGGGAAGCAAGCTTTGGAGAATTCTGACCAAGCCAAATTCTATGATGAGCAGGATATATAAGGCTCGTTACTTCCCTACAAGCTCGTTCTTTGATGCAAAGCTGGGGGAAATCCATCATTTGTTTGGAGGGGGATGATAGCGGTCTAAAATATTCTGCGTGAGGGGTGTTGAAGATATATTGGGGATGGCAGAACGACCGCAATCATAAGAGACCCCTGGTTGCCAGACGGGTTAAACCCTTTCGTAACCACATCGTTGCATGAATCGATAGCCACTGCCCCGGTTTCCTCTTTATTCAGTGCCAACGGAGCTAGTTGGGATCTTGAGTATGTGCAGGACGTTTTTGAGCACCGGGATGCTGCCTTAATCATGAACCTCCCACTGAGTAGCAGGCTCCCACCTGACTCGTGGTACTGGACAGATGATCAAAAGGGGAATTACACTGTTCGCTCTTGTTACCGATGGAAAAGGGACTGATGGAAAATGGACCGATGGAAAATGGGAGAAGCATATGATATACGTCCATGGGCGAGGATTTCGGGTCTGCAGGTTCCCCCTAAGGTGAGAAGTTTTTGTTGGTAAGCATGTACATTGTTTGTTGATGTGTCACCTTTGCCGGCATCATGAAGAATCCGCAGTACATTTGTTTGCAACCTGCAGCGAAGTGAAGAAGATCTGGAGTGTGCTGAATTGAACCTCTCGATCACATCCATTAATACTTGTAATGTTTCCACCTGGTTTTTGAGAACCTAGTTTCGTTGAATGTAGATTGTGTGAGTAAGTTTGCAATGGCATGTTGGGGTATCTGGTGTAGCAGGAATGATTATGTGTGGAGGAATGCGGTTTATTCAATGGATTCAATGCTACGTTCCGCTATGTCACTTTTGAGTAGCTGGAAGGACGTAAATGAGCCGGAGGCACCGGTTAGTACCCATACTGCCGAGGAGCTGTGGTGTCCACCTTCACATGGCTGTCTCAAATTAAATACGGATGTTGCCATGGAGTCTAATAGTGGTATAATGGGTATGGGTTGGATTATAAGGGATGAGATGGGTGTTCTTGTGGCTGCCAAAGCAATGAGCATTCATGAGGCTCTGAGCTTGGTAAAGTCTTTGGGCTATGGCGACATCGATGTGGAAACTGATTCCCAGATTGTTTTTTATGCTTTGTCTACAATTTCTTATAACTCTCCTTTTAGTTTTAGTTTATTAATTGATGATGTAAAAGAGGCTGCATCGCAGATACATGTGGATGTGCACATCCATTCTACCAGCCATTAGAACTCAGAAGTTCAAGGTCAAATCTAATGGCTATGAACGACACCTGCAAGAAGGATGTATGATGAAAATACGCAAATACCCAGCCATTAGAACTCAGAAGTTCAAGGTCCAATTTAATGGCTATGAACAACACCTGCAAGAAGGATGTATGATGAAAAGACGCAAATACCCCCTCTCAAATGGGATATCTAACGGGAAGAATGACGGAGGACCAAAATTGTCCTCGTCACAATAAGAGTGTCTACAAATTGTCTGATTTTTTTATAAAGGACTAAAATTGTACTAAAGATTAGTTAGTAGCTTTTTGACAGGATAATGGTGCTGGCACCCGACCCGGATCATAAGCAGCACCTGACCCGACACCAAATTTAACCCGACATCGTGTGGAATTCCAACAGGCAGAACTCCAACGGGCAGAACACCAACGGGTGGAAACATTATGGCCATTCATTGCATTGAAGGGAGAGAATTAAAGCTGAGGGACTCATTCATGATTCTTCATGCTATTGCCATTAGCCTCAGCTCCCCAATTATGACTCTTCATGTTGTTACCGTTAGGACTTAGCATAAATAGAACTCCCCTCAGCTAGCAATGGGGGAGGACATACTGTACTTTCTATACTGAAACTAAGGCGATTTAACTATTGTCACTTTCTTATTCGTTACTTTATATTATATTTCCGGTAACATATTTACCGTCATTGGTGCTTTCATTGAGAACCTGAGTCCAATACTCAAGCAGGCTACGACACACACAACTCATTCCTCTTTCAACAGCAAGCTTGAAAGAATGGTGTCCTGCAGCTCCCACGGTTCCCGCAACGTGAACAATGACAATGCCTCAGGTGACCTCCGGGACCAACTCACCAACAATCACGGAGGGGACCTCCGAGAACAGCTCAACAACGGGAGGCCCGGGGACCTTCGAGACCAACTCAACAATGGAGAAAACCTTCGAGACCAACTCAACAATGGAGGGGACCTCCGAGACCAGCTCCACAATGGAGGGGCGAACCAAGTCGTGAACCTCCAGGCGACCATCCAGCAAGTGGTGGCGGCGGCACTAAACCAAGTGGTGGTGGGACTACAAGGCCAAGTGCCCCCGCCGCGGCCCCAAGAAATAAGGGTGGAGACCCAAAGAAGTGGACCGGCCAAACGACAACTAAGCCCTTCCCAATCTGCACCAGAACGATTGGGACAAAGGGCGCCCGTGCGGCAAAGATTAGGATCACGGGCCGTGGGATCCTCTACCAGAGGTCCTCGCCAACACGAAAACAGAGAAGCCGAGAGATCACCCACAGAGGAGGTGGGCGAGTCTCGGGAGCCGACCCCACGCCAACACGTTGATGAGTCGGCCTTACGTCGACACTTGGAGGAGCGACGCGTCGAAGAGCTGTCTCCGTGATGGCACTCGGCGGGGAAGCGACGCGTTGATGAGCGGGTTCCACACCGACACTTGGAGGAGCGGCAGCCGGCCCCGCGCCGGCACCCTGATGAGTCAGCCCTGGTCGAGAGGCTGGAAAGAAGAATCGAGGAATTAGCAAGAAGGGTGGAGGCACGGGAGCAGTCGCCGGAACCCGAGGTACGGATGGCAGCACCATTCTCCCCAAGCATCATGGACATACCTTTGCCGAGGGACTTTAGGTTGCCTGCCATCAAGGAGTACACGGGGGTCACTGACCCACGCGTCCACATGACGAGGTACAAGGCTGCTATGGTAATGATCGGGGCAGGGGACGCCATCATGTGCCGAGCGTTCTTGTCCATCCTGGATGGAGCGGCCCAAGACTGGTTCAGCACCATCCCTGATGGGTCGATCCAAAACTTTAGGGAGTTGTCCAAGAGCTTCCTGACATACTTCTCCTATAGCATACAGCGTAAGAAACCCTTCTCTCACCTCTGTGTAGTGAAGCAAGATAGAGGCGAGAGCCTCAAAGACTTCCTGATAAAATGGAAAAAGGAAGTCAATAATGTCTACGACTTTGACTCCAAGGCGGCGATCCCGATATTTATCCATGCCTTAAGATCAGGGTATTTCCACAAGCAGTTGAACGCCCACCACCCCCGCTCTTACGAAGATCTGATAAGGACGGCTAGCCGCTATGCCGAAGCAGAGGACGTCGACAGGAAGAAGAAGGACGAAGATGATGGAAGGAAAGGTGGGAAGCCAGGGAAAGCGGGTCCGCCCAGCCAGGCACCACTCTCGAACCACCCGACCGCAGGGAAAGGCCGAGACCACGAACGACCTCGCCTGGTTCCCTTGTGTAACCTAACTCCTCTTACCCATCCCATCAGTGTCATTCTAAAGCAAACTGAGGAGATGGGAATGGTAGAATTCCCCGAGGAGTGCATGAAGGTCTCCCCGAAGGCGGACCAAACAAAGTACTGCAGGTTTCATAGGCAAACCGGCCACGATACGGATGAGTGTCACGTTTTGAAGAGACAAATATAAGAACTCATCCAGCAGGGCTACTTCCGACATTTCGTCAAGCGATCCAAGCAGCAGCAACAGCCGCAACACAATCCACCAAAAAATGTCTGGAGGAATGAGGATGGCACAGAACCATCCACCTCGAACGCCAAAAAAAGAGAACATGACCAAATATCTTAGCAGAATGATAGTGAGAAAGAAACCGTGGTGGCGCCCAGACGACAAAAGAAGTACACCATACACTTTATCTATGGTGGACCCGCAGGGGGCGACACGCCCGCGGAAAGAAAGAAGTGGAGCCGGAAGCTATACGTGGGAGAAGTGGTGAGTCTTCCTAGAGAAAAGAAACAGAGACAGGAGGCCATCACCTTCTCTGATGATGACCTCCCAGAGGGCCCGTTACCCCATCGTGACGCCCTGGTGATTAAGATGGACGTCAACGATGTCATGGTCCACCGCATCTTAATCGACACAGGAAGCTCAGTCAACGTGATGTATTACGATGCCTTCACCAAGTTAGGGATACCTAGGAACCAGCTCAAAGAAGTACGTACCCTACTCTCTGGATTTACGGGTGATTCAGTGGAGACAGAGGGGTCAGTGGTCTTACCAGTGGAGATAGGCACGACCCCTAACATTCGCAAACTTGACGTAGAATTCATCGTGGTAAGACTCGCTTGTGCGCACACCACATCATATTGGGGAGGCCGGCACTGGAGGACCTCAAGGCCATAGTGTCGGTGGAACACTTGTGTATGAAGTTCCATACTCCGAATGGGATAGGAGTCGTCAAAGGAGACCAGCGAGCAGCCCGCAGTTGTTACGTAAAAGAATGCAAAAAGATTGGCAAAAAGGATCTACAAGTCCACACCATCTGCGAGGATGATCGATCGGGTATGGAGCTCAGAACATTTAGCTAGATATTATTAGTAATACTTTGTAGTCGTGTTCCACCCAGACCTGTAAACAATATTTTGTAATCATGGTCTGCCCAGGTTACTTTGCTCAAATAAAAGGTTCTCAACACCACCTTCGATCAACCAAAAGCCGGCCGACGCCGCATTGTACAAAAAAAAATAAAATAAGATAAAAAAAATAAAAAATAGAGAACAGAGTCCTCGGCTACGGGTTGGCCGAAACAAAACTCGGGTGGTCGAAAGAGTTATAAATAAGTTTGTGATCTTCGCACGGTTAGCAATGCCAATTTTTTGTTTTTATGATAGAAAGAGTTATAAATTTAATTATTTTGTATTAATTCTTGGGCTCAAATATCAGTCGAGAATTGTTTTCTTTTTAATGTTTTCCTTTGTATCTATGCAGAATTGTTGAATTTTATGTTTTCCTTTGTATCTATGCAGAATTGTTGACAGCTTAAACATTTATTTCTGATTTTTGTTTTAGCTTTAGTAATGCTGACCCGTAGTTCTGAATTCTCACCCGTGTTCATGTTCTTGCTTAAACTTTTGTGGTATAGGAAGTGTTGAATGCCGGTGATTTTATGAGTAGATTACCAGATGAAATTTTTATTTCTGTACTGTCTCGCCTGCCGTTGAAGGAGGCTACTGCCACTGCCATCTTATCAAGGCGGTGGAGGAACCTGTGGAAGTCCATTGCTGGGTTAGACTTTAACGGCGAAACCACATTGGGTGGAAGAGCGATATATCCAAGATCCCTGAACACAGAAAGAAACAAGTACATTAATTGGGTGAATCGAGTTATTAGGCAGCATAATGGCCCTGCCATCATTGCATTCAAGATTAGCTTCGATCTGGGCAAGGGTTCGAAATCTGCCACTGATAACTGGATAAAAGTTGCGCTTTCGAAGAAGGTAAAGAGGCTCGAGCTGGATTTGTTGGGATATGATGCCAGTATTCGTGAAGCCATGTGTAACTATACATTCCCGTCTAAGCTTTTCACTAGTAGACAGTCCAATACCGGCTTGAGGTTTCTAACAGTCCTTTCTTTGAGATGCGTTAACGTGAGTGAACAAGTGCTGGAGTCTTTCCTTCTACACTGTCCGCTTCTCGAGTTTTTGTCATTGCAGTGCTCGAGGTGCTTGGTAAATGTGAAGGTCGTTGGTCCGGCTCTCAAGCTGAACTCCTTGGAGATTCTCTTCTGCTTGGGCTTAAAAACTATAGAGCTCCAAGACACAACTCTTTCTTCGTTCTGTTATTTGGGTCCTGCGGTTACTTTTATCTTCAAAAATGTTCCAAAACTTGAAGAGGTCTCGGTGGGTATGGGCCGTTCTGGAATCGAGAACAATGTCTTTGGACAGCTTGACTGCTGCTTTAATCAGCTGGAGCTTCTAACTTTAGTTATCTATCGTCCACAGGCTAGTAGGCAATTTTTCTTTGTTGAGACCATTTTCTTTTCCGGTGTTTTGTTAACTCGTCTTCTTTGTTTTGTTTTTGTATTTTTTCCATGCAGGCAAACGTTAATTTCTCAAATATTCCCGAACTGCCCAGACTCAAGGAGTTAGTGCTGAAAATTGGAGCATTTAGTGATCAATCTCTTTTTCAGTTCACATCATTGCTGCAACACTCTCCTCGTTTGGAAAGATTTGTGCTCCAGGTGCGTGTTTCAACTACATATATAACAAGTTATAATAGCGTATCTAATCCTTCGGTTTAAAGTTAATGTGAAAGAAAAAATTTTCTTGTCACATTATTGGTTGTTTCCAAGTATAGCCTACTCATCTTTGGATTTGCAAATTTAACATCTGGAATAAGTTGAATTTTCCTTGTTAAGAACTCAGTCTTTTTGCTTATTCCATAGCGCCCGTGAGAATAAGAAGCATTTGCACAGGGTAACTAACTGTAGTTACTTCTTAGGGAAGAACATACATTATAATTTTCGAATCATTGTATTCATTAAATTGACATTTATTAACATCTTTGTGGAATGGATTCATTTAAGTACTATGTTTATGTCCTGGTCTTTTACAGCGTGTTTATTATCCTGGTCTTTTATGTATGTAGTCTGAGCTCGCCTTTTCTGCTATCCATTACATAAATTGATTGGTTTTCCTTACTCGGATGCTGCTGTGCAGTTGATATGGCGATATCCATTGATGACCAGGAGAAGGATGCTCAAGGGCGAGGCGTTTCTTCTCAATTCGCTCAAGGTTGTGGAGATTCGCGGGTATTTTGGGCGCCCTAGCGACGCTTAAATCGCGATGCGCTTCATCGAGAACGCTCCTGCTCTCCAGAAATTGGTGATTGATCCCCGCAACCAGATCCTGAAGCACTCTTCTCGGCCAGTGCAGGCTGAGGAATCTGCTAGAAGATATGCCCACCAGCAGCTGATGTTAAGGGTTCCACAAGGTGTGGAATTAGTAATTTATTGACCAAATTTGTGTGTTTTTTTGTAGCTTTGTTTGTTGGTGTTAGTCTACAGACAGGTGGTGTTGTTAATTGGTATAGGTTGTTTGTTTAAGGTCTGGTGTACCTTGTACAGAGGCACATAAAGACAGACAGACATAGATACATTAAACCTCCAATGACATTATTTGTAACATTATTTACATTGCAGGCGGATAGACAGACATTAGATTCTAAAGCTGTTTAATAAAAACAATAGGGAATAAGTGTCAAATAGGCCACTAAACTGCACACAATAATGCAATTAGGCCACTGAACCTAAAAAAAACAACAATTAAAGTACATATAGGTATTCGTGTTTCTTAGGCCACTCAACCGCAATAACTTCCAAAAGGTATGGTTTATCTTGATAGTTAAAGTACATATAGGTATTCATGTTTCTTAGTTTTATGTTAGGGTTTGGGTTGTATGTATTCTGGGGATTGGGTTTATGTAAGGGTTTTGTGTAATTTATGAGTTGTATTCCTGGAATATGTATAAAATAATGCTGATAAGTTCTTTTTTTTTACTGAAAAAAGTGGTCCTTCTTTGTTGTTTTGATGTTGGAATTTTTTGAAATTTAGCCTTCAAATGGGGTCCATGCTGAAACTTTGATGGGTATGCATTATACTAAAGTTTATTGAATTGTTTAGAGTATTTAGTTAAATGAATGCTAGGTGTCATGTTTCTATTTGTTAAATGGTACTTAGTTTGCTTTATTGTTTGGTAATACAATGTAACAGTGTTGTTAAATGGTATCAGTGTGTTTGGTTGTTTGGTGGTTTAAAGAGGTGTTTTTTTTTTTTTGTTTTTTTTTTTTTTTTACAGTTCTAACTTCTTTACTGCACTGTTAAATAGTTTTTAATATTACCATAGTTATTGCAGACATGTGTGCAAGTGTTGAGTTAGTAGTCCATCATGGTGGAAATTTTGTAAGAAGTCCTGAGTTCAAGTATATCAATGGTGAGGTTAATAGGATACAAATTGAACCACATCTTATTTCATACCCCCATGTTAAGGGTTCCACAAGGTGTAGAATTAGTAATTTATTGACCAAATTTGTGGGTTTTTTTATAGCTTTGTTTGTTTGTGTTAGTCTACATACAGGTTGTTCTGTTAATTGGTATAGGTTGTTTGTTTAAGGTCTAGTGTACCTTGTACAGAGGCACATAAAGACAGACAAACAGACATAGATACATTAACCTCCAATGACATTATTTGTAACATTATTTACATTGCAGGCGGACAGACAGACATTAGATTCTAAAACTGTTTAATAACAACAATAAGTTGGGTAGGGGGTGATGGGTTTAGAAATGTGCAACTTCTGTGCACTTTCTCGACTATTGTGATGTGTTTGGTAGGATGGAATTGTAATTATACGGAATTACAATTCTTTCCAATCATAGAATTGCAATTCCTAGGACCCCTAGGAATTGTGTGGAATTGTAATCCTATGATAAATTACGATTGCCATTCTCGTCCGTCTGAGCTCTGTTAGTAGCTAGCTTTGCCCAACCACAAGCTCGCGTGCCTGTGTTACTAGTCGAAAGTAACTGTAGGAAGTTGGGAATTGTTTTTAAGGTAGTGTTCCTACGAACACGACACAGTGCAGAATTTCCCTTAACACTCCCTCCCTTTCCAGATTTACAGACATTGTTCAAGCACGAAAACTCAACAATAATTGCTTGTTTTTGGCAACCAAAACCAAAATTAACTATTATGGGAATATTGTTGAGATATTTTCCTCAAAAAAGTAAAATTCATATTAGAAAAAAAAAAAAAGGATCAGCATGCCACCAAATTGCCAGTATATTGTAGAAACGATAATGGAGGAAAAAATACTCTTCTGTTTATAATCTAGCTAATTTCAGTCTATATATACACATACATAGCTTCCTACACTATGGCCTAAATCTAAGCAAATCAATTAAATAAGTAAATACAATATTTACATAATATAATCAATTATAAATAAGTAAACATAATATTTACATAATCAGTCAAATATTTTGGTAGCATAATTTCTTCCTAAGATTGCTCACGCCAACACTCCCCCTCAAGTTGGTGAATATATGTCAATCATTCCCAACTTGTTTAGTGAGTTTTGAAACTCTTTTCCAGATACAGCCTTTGTTAGGACATCTGCTAGTTGATCTTTTGATGTGACAAATGGAAGAGCAATTGTACCTTTGTCAAGATGATCTTTGATGAAGTGCCGATCAACTTCCACATGTTTAGTTCTGTCATGCTGAACAGGGTTATTTGCAATTGCTATGGCTGCTTTGTTATCACATAATAGCGTCATTGGTTTTGATAGATACCAAGATCGTGTAGGATACGTTTTATCCATAGCAACTCACATATACCTTGAGCCATTCCGCGAAACTCTGCCTCTGCACTTGATCTTGCTACAACCTTTTGTTTTTTTCTTCGCCATGTTACCAGGCTACTCCCAACAAATGTAAAATATCCCGATGTAGATTTTTGATCAGTTTGAGTTCCAGCCCAATCTGCATCTGTATATCCCTTAACTTCTAGATCTCCATTTTTTGAAAAAAATAATCCTTTTCCTGGAGAAGATTTTAAGTATCGTAGGATCTGATACACAGCTTCCATGTGGTCTTCACTTGGTGCATGCATGAATTGACTAACAATACTTACTGCATATGCAATGTCAGGACGTGTATGCGATAAGTATATTAATCTCCCAACTAATCTTTGATACCTCTCCTTATTGGTTGGAGTTTGATCTTGTTGAATGGCTAATTTGTGATTCACTTCGATGGGAGTTTCAACAGGTTTACAATCAAGCATACCAGTTTCTGCTAGTAAGTCTAACACATACTTACGCTGGCAAAGAGAGATTCCGTAGCTTGATCTTGCAACTTCAATGCCTAAGAAATATTTCAAGTGCCCAAGGTCTTTAAGTTCAAACTCAGTTGCAAGGTTTTCTTGCAGGGCAGTCATTTCAATTGTATCATTTCCTGTAACAATCATATCGTCAACATACACAATAAGAGCAGTTACCTTTTCATAACCTTGCTTGATGAAGAGTGTATGATCGGCATCACTTTGTTTGTATCCAATCTTCTTCATGAAAGTTGAGAGCCTTCCAAACCATGCTCGAGGGGATTGCTTCAATCCGTATAAGGCCCTTCTTAGCTTGCATACTTTGCCATCACAATTTATGCCTGGAGGAGGATCCATGTATACTTCTTCTTCCAACGTCCCATTAAGAAATGCATTTTTAACATCAAACTGTCTTAGCGGCCACTCCCGATTTGCTGCTATAGAAATAAGTACACGTATGGTGTTTATTTTTGCTACAGGAGCAAAAGTATCTCCATAATTAATCCCGTACTTCTGTGTGTACCCTTTAGCAACAAGCCTTGCCTTGTAGCGATCTATGATTCCATTTGGACTGAGTTTGACTGTAAAGATCCACTTGCACCCTACTGTTTTCTTCCCCACGGGTAGCGATACAAGATCCCATGTATGATTTGTTTGCAAGGCTTCCATTTCATCATTCATAGCTTTCTTCCATTTTGAATCCAGTAATGCTTCCTGCACATTACTAGGAATAGAAACAGGGGATATTTGATTTATAACAAGTGCATGCGATTTTGACAAACGATGAGAGGAGGTATAATTATTGATGGAATATTTCGTCTTAGCTTTAAAATCAGGATCATATTGAATTTTCGGAATCCCTATGTTTATCCTAATTGGATATCTCGGTTCATTTGTGATAGGAGTTGACTCGAGTATTATAGGAGATAAAGGCAAAGATGTTACCTGAGGAAACACATTCGGAGATGAAGGTAAAGATGTTACCTGAGGAAACAAACTTGGAATTTCTGTGGTTGTTGGTGTGTCCTGGGAAGTTGTACAATCTTGGTTCTCAAGAGTGCCATTAATAATCTCGGGAGATGTATCAACATCTGGTTCATCTAGTTGCAAATCAATCCCGGCTTGTTCATGAAAAAATTCATGAGTGTTGTCTTCACTTAAATTAAGTGTTTTCTCCCCCTGAAGAGCGCACTCATGCCCACCGAAAAAAGGAAGGTCTTCATGGAATGTAACATCTCGAGTTACATACATTTTATTTCCAGTAGGGTCATAACACCTATACCCCTTTTTAAGGACTGCATATCCAACAAATATGCAACGGACAGCTCGTGGATCTAGTTTTCCTGCTACCTTGTGTACATATGCAGTGCAACCAAACACACGGGGTTCAAGATTTGGCTCGACCGGTGCTGAAACAAGTTCGTGGAGTTTTTGGTATGGAGTTTTGAAATCAATGACTCGCGATGGAGTTCGATTGATAAGATATGCAGCAGAACGAACAGCTTCGCCCCAATATTCTCGAGGCACTTTCATTCCAAACAAGGACACTCGAACAACCTCAAGTATTTGGCGATTTTTCCGTTCTGCCAAGCCGTTTTGTTGTGGCGTACCAGTACATGAAGTTTGGTGTCGAATCCCATTCTCTTGACAAAAAAATCTTCATGTCAGAGTTTATGTACTCCCCACCATTATCAGATTGAAGAACTGGCATTGATATTGAGAGGCCACCATTTTATATAGATCCTGAAATACAGAACAAACATCTCCCTTGTTTCGTAGGAGAGAGATCCATATCATACGAGTACATTCATCAGTAAAAGTCACAAAATAACGAACACCAGATAAAGTAGGGACTTGAGCAGGTCCCCAAACATCCGAGTGGATAGTCATAAAAGGTGTATTATTTTTATTATAACTAGGCTGATAAGAAATTCTATGGCTCTTTGCCATTTCACAA